GGGGGGGGGAGTGGAAACTCAGACAGTTCCCTGCGGTGAAATTTTGCGGGGGAAAGACGGGGTTTCTAGTAAGATTTGTATGCAAAGACAGATTTCTTAACACAGCAGTGGCAAGGCAGAATTCCTTGGAAGCTCTGTCTACGTCATGCAACCCGAGAAGGCAATGTCATATCTGAATTCAGAGGAACGGCGGGATAAAACAGGAGGGAAGCTTTCGCGGGCTTGTTTTGTTAGTCTTTAAAGCGCTGCCGGGTTTCTGTTTAGTCTTGCCAACCTCCAGGTGAGGGCTGGAAATCATCTGGAAGTGTATACCGTGAATAAAATTCTGTTGGTCTTCAAGGTGTCACTGCACTCAGACTTTGTTCTACTACAGAGATCCGTTTCCCTGGAGAAACCAAAGCCACCAAAAATCAAAATCTGCCCTCCCGAGGCTCCACCTTTAAGTCTCCGGGAATTTCCCAACCTGGAGTTGGCAACAATACTTTCCTGTTTGCTTAGAGGCTGTGTGTTTTTGCCTGTCATGCCCGGGGGTGTGGGGGGACGGGACGGGAAGTGGTGACTTTATATGGTATGAGAAACTGCTCTAGTGTGTGAATAACAGAACTGCAGGATTCTTGGGGAAATCAAAAGCACAATTGTATTCCAGAAGAAGCTTTCCTACACTAGAACACACTTCTTTAGGTGTAATGAATGGTTTTTCAGTGCTTGGTCATTTGACATGGGATGTCTGAAAAAAGTTAAACACCGGTGTCAAAGGGTCATGAAATGTAGGCTATACAAAATTAAATATAACAGCAACAACAATAATAAAAGGATGTGTCTGTCTGTCCTTCTGTGGTAGGTGCTGGACCTCCAAAATAAAAGTGAGGTGCCTCAGTATTGGCTATAGGCTTTAGGGTGATAATGGGAGTTGCCATGTCAGACATGAAGGAAGTAACAGCAGCAACAACAACAATAATGAAAGGATGTGTCTGTCTGTCTGTCCTTCTGTGGCAGACGCTGGACCTCCAAAAATAAAGTGAGGTGCCTCAGTATTGGCTATAGGCTTTAGGGTGATAATGGGAGTTGCCGTGTCAGACACGAAGGAAATGGGAATATCTTGACCCATGATCTCTGGAACTCTTTATTGGAAGTTATGGTTGTTTCGGACAGGCATAACTCACCCAAAAATGAATCTCTTTTTTTTTGCCATCAAATCTCAGCTGACTTATAGCAACCCGGTGAGGTTTTCAAGGCAAGAGAATTTCAAAGGGAGATTAGAAAGAGAGACTGTTGAATTGCAACTGCATCCACCTGGACTGAATCGAGACCCTGAGTTCCTGTCTCATTACCAGTGCTGATTTCTGTACACCTACTGGACTACTACTGGAGTCTTATTCTTTTCTACCTCATTAAAAGAAGATTGATGCCACTTATGCTGTTTGGGCCTGTGGGTCTATAGGGACAAAGTTGCGCTCTTGCTTATTGCAGGGTCTAGGCCCTGGGTATGTGTCTCCGTTGGGAGGTCCACTGTTGTTGGTTGAGAGCTTCTTGGAGTTTCCATGGGCATGTTCTTGATCCGTGTTGCATGGAACCATGAGCAGCCCCGTAGCTAGAGGTTTTCTGGGGAGGGGGCCTTGGGAGGCCCAGTAGCCAATTAAAACAAAGTTAATTAAATTAACTTTTATTTAAGTAGTGGGACTCCTTAGAATTCCTAAGGCAGCCCTGTACCCCCCCAGGCTCCAGGGCAAGGGGGGGTAATGCCCAGCAGCCATAGCTTCCCTCCACCCCCCCTCTGCAAGGACAGGCCTTCCCTGCAGAGCGTCTGCCCCCCCCAAGGAGCCCCAGTTCCTCTTCCCGCAGCATGGCACAAGGGGCAGCCTGACGTCTACCCTCGGCTACCCCCCCCCCAAGGAGCCCGATTTCCTCTTCCCACAGCATGGCACAAGGGGCAGCCTGACGTCCACCCTCGGCTCCCCCCCGGGGCTGGGAGAAGTGAGGCGTGCAGTGGCCGGGCTGGCCACAGAGCCGCTGCATGTGGGCTTGTTGGCACAATGGAGCGCAGCCAGGCGTGCCTGCCAGGGGTAAGAGGAAGCGGCAGTTTGCCTCCTTGCCTGGCCTGGCTGGGCTTATCTGCTGCTAGTGGAAGCCCAAGATGGAGGCTTCTCCTTGTACCATTCACGCTTGCTGCCTGTCCGGGCTGCTCTTTTAAGCCTAGCCTTGCTGCCGCCGCCGCTGCAGCTGCTTGTGCTGCTCTCATCCTCCCTGCCGACAGGCAATCGGGGGTGAGGTGGATCAGGGGGGAGGGGGAGCCATGGCTCGGGGAGGGGCCCATAAAAACCATTAGGGGGCCAGGCCCCGCGAGCCCCAGGGTAGCTACGGGCCTGACCATGAGGCTATTCAATCTTGTTCAAAACAGGATATGGAAGCAGCAGATCAAAAGTCTGCTATCACCAGATGTGATTATTTATTATGCAAGAAGATTACAGGTGTTTATACCCAAAACCTCAGTGGGAGCTGTTAACAGTAATCATAGCCATTGTTAGCAGCCAGAACGATCCGCTCTTAAGAGGTCAAAATGAATTACAGTCTGTCACTTGGCCTGAACTGTGATTTCATTTGAAAAAGCTGGTATGTAGCAGGCTAGGGAAACTTGGAATGGTTTCAAGCCTGACGGGGTGGAGATAATTTTTTTCTTCAAAATTGCCACTCTTTGGCATAATACTGATGATGATTACTTCTCGGATTGCTATCGACCCTGAGAAGAAGTTGGAATCACCATCGCAGAAGTCGAAGACCAACGTGAGCCCTCCACGTAACTAACAGAGGGGATATGATAGCCATCTTGAAGCCTCAGGAGGTTGGACCAGAACCAGTGGATTGAAATTAAATCAGAAGAGTTTTCAGCTAAACATCAGGAAGAATTTCCTGACAGATAGAGCAGTTCCCCAGTGGAACAGGATTCCTCGGGAGGTGGTGGGCTCTCCTTCTTTGGAAGTTTTTTTTTTTTGAACCCCCCGAAGGGGTATTTTTATTGTTTTTCAATAGACTACAAAACTACAAAGAAAAAATTGGGAAGGGACTACATCTATGGATAAAGGGCTTTTTCATTTGCAGCTCCGTTCTACTGGAACGAGCTTCCTGCCGAGATTAGAGCCCTGCGGGACTTGTCACAGTTCCGCAGGGCCGTGAAAACAGAACTTTTCAGGCAGGCGTTCCTTGCTTTGCACTGCTTCTATGTTAGTAAATTAGTTATCTTGAGAAGACTTTCTGAGCATCTTCATTTCTTCAAAGAGCAATTTTCAGAGTCCTTCTGCCCTTACTTTGGCTTTCTGTCTCTAAAATCCTTTGGAAGTTTTTAAGCAGAGGCTAGATGGGCATCTGACAGCAATGCCGTTTCCATGAATTTAGTCAGATCAGGAGTGGGAGGGCGGGAAGGAATGAGCCTGTGCTCAGCTCTCGTGGGCCTTTTCCTACATGCCCAGCGTAATGCCAAATGCCACTTTGGGGTCAGGAAGGAATTGTTCTCCAGGCCAGATTGGCACAGGGATCCTGGAGGGGTTTTTTTGCCTCCCTCTGGGCATAGAGCAGGGGTCACACTCACTGGGGAAGTGGGTGAGTAGCTGTGAATTTCCTGCGGTGTGCAGGAGATCGGGCTAGATGACTCTGGAGATCCTTCCAGCTCTGTTTCTAATAGATGCATTTATTTCTTTATTATTAAGTCATTTGTAACCCACTTTTCTTCAAAGGAAACGGTTGCCAACTCCTGGTTGGGAAATTCCTGGAGATTTGGGGGTGGAGCTGAAGGAGGACAGAATTTGGGGAGGGATCTCAGTAGCTACGTGAGTCCATAGAGACCACCCTCCAAAGCTGCCATTTTCTCCAGGGAACTGATCTTTGTAGTCTGGAGATCAGTTATAGTTCTGGGAGATCAGTTATAGTTCCCGTCCTCAACTGGAGGTTGGCAACCCTAGGCAGCATACATGACCCCCCCCTTTTATCTGTGCATTCTGGGAAATAAAGTGAGCTGAGAGAGAATGACTGACTAAAGGTCACCCACACTGTGGGGGTATGTGGGGGGGAGGTATTTGTGAATTTGCTGCATTGTGCAGGGGGTTGGACTAGATAACCCTGAAGGTCTCTTCCAACTCTTGTGATTCTTTGATTCTAACAAAGTCTGAGTCCAGTGGCACATTTAAGACCAACAAAGGTTTGTTCAAGGCATGACCTTCCATGTCCACACACACTTCCTCAAATACAATGAAATGGAATTTACCAGTCCATACATATAAGGCACAGGTTAAACAGCAAATTAGTATACAGCATAATGAAGACGTTTTAACGGATGCAAACAGGAATAACTATTATTTATTTATTTATTTATTCCATTAGATTTTTTACCCCGCCCTCCCAGCAAAGCTGACTCAGTTTATGAGTTGACCATTGTTTGGGTTTCATTTCAGGGAAAACCAGTGAAGAAAATAAAAATGTTGAAATTGGAGGTAGATGTGTAAATGTGTCATTCTTAATTGTGGAGTGCTAAGAGTAAGAGTGGAGCTGCGGTGGCTCAAGTGGTTAAGACGTTGAACTGCAGGCTGTGGAAGGTCGGTAGTTCAGCAGTTCGAGACCCGAGTGTGCCGCATGACGGAGTGGGCTCCCGTCTCTAGTTCCAGCTCCTGCCAACCTAGCAGTTCGAAAGCAAGAAATTGCAAGTAGATAAATAGGTACCACTTCAGTGGGAAGGTAACAGCGTTCTGTGCACCTTGGTGTTTAGTCATGCCGGCCACATGACCACGGAAACGTCTTCGGACAGCGCTGGCTCTTTGGCTTTGAAACGGAGATGAGCACCGCAACCGTAGAGTCGGATTCGACTGGCTTTCGAGCAAGGGAACCTTTACCTTTAAGAGTAATGACCTGAGACCTTGTTGTTATGCTATATCTGTCTCCTTTCAGGCATAGAGGTCACCCAGTACATTTCATGACAAGTGGGCCTCCCCGATCTTAGCCCAGTGCTCTAACCGTTACACAATGGAGGTAACAGTCTTTGAGATCTGTGAGGACTTATGCTAGAGTGGGCCCATAGAATTGCCAAGAATTGGACACGACTGAATGGCTAACCACAACAAATGCAGGAGAGGGAAGGACTTGGCAGTCCTTTTCCCTGTAAGAATTGCAGCTATTCTGTAATCAGACATTGTGTGCAGGAAGAACATTCACATGGAAGCTTGCTCACAGCCACGCTACCCTGTCCCGTTTGAGCTACAGCAAAATGAGGGGGTGCTTCAATTTGGGGGAGGTGGAAGTCCCAGGAGTCCCGCACACCATGCTTGGAATGAGCACATAATATGGAAGCAAAAAAAAAATTTCTGTGTTGATGATAAAAAGTCTATTTTAAAGGTGTTTCTTTTAAAGGAAGCTGTTGTGGTCCGTTTCCTAGCATAGCATATGCCAGAGAAGAAGTTTATTTGAGTGTGTGTATGTAAATCAAACCCTAAACTGCAGTTACAGTTGGGGAAAACACTCACACACAAGGGTGTAGACTTTCCAATTTCCCGGGGGGGGCTGGGGCTGGGCCAGAGGCATTGCTGTGCTAGGAGCAAGGGTGGCGAGCTTGCTCACAGCCACGCTACCCTGTCCTGTTTGAGCTACAGCAAAATGAGGAGATGCTTCAATTTGGGGGAGGTGGAAGCCCCAGGAGTCCCGCACACCATGCTTGAAATGAGCACATAATATGGAAGCAAAAAAATAAAAATAAATCTGTGTTGATGATAAAAACTCTATTTTAAAGGTGTTTCTTTTAAAGGAAGAAGAAGAAGAAGAGATTGGATTTATACCCCGCCCTTCACTACCCAAGGGAGTCTCAGAGCGGCTTACAAACTCCTTCCCCTCCCCACAACAGACACCCTGTGAGGTGGGTGGGGCTGACTAGGGGAACTCATTAGCATAACTCATTAGCATATGCCACCCCCCCTGACATAACCTGAAGTGTGTCATGAGGCCACACACCCCTGACATCACCAGAAGTGTGTCATAAGACCACACACCCCGCCCCCAACGTTCCCGGCCGCCGGTGCCAGCCTTGAAGCTCCACTGCCGAGCCTCATGAGGGGCCCGGCGGTGGACCTGCAAGGCCGGCAGGAGTGCAAGGAAGCCCCGCGAAGGCCCTCCCTGGCCCCAGGCAGGCAGGGGTGGGGAGAGGCAGGGAGGAAGCAACTTACCCTCCCTCTTCTCCTGCCTCCTCCTGGCTGAATGAGGGCCGGAAACGGGGCGGCCGGAAGCAGGGGGCGGGGCTTCATCATGTGCCCCCCCCGTACCTAGCCCGGGGGAACTGCGATCCCCCGCGATCCCCCTCGAAATGACCTCTGATGCTAGATGAAAAAGTAAACAGTCCTCAACATTGGTTGGTCATTCTGTCTCCTTCTGGATCTTCAGGTACCACATGGATGCAGGAGATTGTTGATCTGATTTGCGCTGGTGGCAATGTGGAAAAAGCACGGCGAGCTCCCACACATGTCCGGATTCCGTTTCTAGAAATCTGCTCCCCACCTCCTATGCCTTCAGGTAAGAAGAGGGGACCCAGTCATCTGGCATCGCTCTTCTAAGATCACTGCTTCAAGACTAACTCCTTCATCCCATCTCTGGTGTCCCTCCAGGGGTTGATTCACTGGTAAATGCACCGTCTCCTCGTGTTATCAAAACACACCTACCCTTCCAGCTTGTCCCCAAAAGCTTTTTGGAAAAGAATTGCAAAGTAAGTAAAAGTGTGGTACTCCCTTTCAGATTTGCACCCATCCCGTCAACTCGTTAATCCTGATTGACAGCCCCATACAAGGCTCTCTTTTGGCCCTTACAGATTATCTACGTTGCTCGCAATGCCAAGGACAACCTGGTCTCCTATTACTTCTTTGACCGGATGAATTTGACGCAGCCAGACCCAGGGCCTTGGGATGGCTATGTTAAGAAATTCATGGAGGGCACAGGTCCGTTTTGGGGTGGGAGGGCGATTATGCATTGAAGCGTTATGGGTTATATAGCAATGTCTCCAGGTCTCAAGCCACTGGGGGTCTAGCAGGTTAGAGGGCAAGTGTGTGGGAACAGACTCCTGAGATTTCTGGAACAGATTCTGGGGCAAAGTGTTCCAGGGGCAGGATTCCCAGGTCCTCACTCAGTCTTTATTAATCACACAGTTGCTTGGGGCTCTTGGTATGACCACGTCCGGCGTTACTGGGATGAGAGAGAAAACTATCGTATCCTGTACGTCTTCTATGAGGACATGAAAGAGGTTAGTCCAGATTAGGTTAGCATGTTGTGGATAGTGCAAACTGGTTTATAACACATTAATATCTTTATTTGTTATGTTATCTGTTCATTTACAGCTTAGCCATTTACTCTACTGACAAAAACTGTACTTTACAAAAATGCAAAAAGTACACAACATTCAGTAAGTTAAACAATGAACAAACATAAGAGTGACATAAGCGGCAAATAAGAAGTACTTAACCCAAGCTTAATGATGTTGCCCCCTCCTCTAGTTGCTGCCTCCTATGTTATTCATATGGAAGAAGTAGGGTTGCCACCTGCCTGCTGACACTTAGCTTAATGGTGTTGTGAGGGGGAACACAATACCATTAAGGCAAAAGTAAAGGTTTCCCTTGCTTGAGAGCTAGTCAAATCCGACTCTAGGGGTAGGGTTGCCAAGTCCCCCGCTCGAGAGGCCCGTTGCCCGCCAGCTCGAATTGGGCCGCTGGGTGGAACCCTGCCCCCAAAGTGCCAGATGTGCCAGATGACACCACCCGGAGCTGACATCATTGCGTCGGGCATGTTGCAGGGGAACGCTCTATCATTTGAGGGAAAACTCTATGGTTTTCCCTTGAATGATTGTGGCCCCGCCCCCAATGTGCCCAATGCGATGATGTCACTTCTGGGTGGCGTCATTGTGGCGCACGCACTGGAAGGATCCTGGTCATTTCTTAGAAGAGAAGATTATCAGGAATTATCAGAAAACACCATTCTGTACTTTTTCAAAACCACAACATCCTTGGCTGATCACATGTATCTTGTGGGAAAGCCGAAAGTTTCCTGTTATCACCAGGTGCGAATTTTCTTGATAACAGAAAGCAAAGTTAGCAGTTCCCTTAGTAACGGGCTGTTTGCAAGCATCTATTTCTTTATTTTGTTTTTCCTATTTGCAAAAGCAAATGCGTTCTGCATGCGTTTAGATGCTTCAGAGCTGGGGCCAGAGACGGGAGCTCCATCACGTGGCACTAGGGTCTCAAACTGCCGAACTACAGACCTTCCGGTCTGCAGCTAGGCATCTTAACCTTTGAGCCACCGTGACCCTTACAATACCATTATGTTGCATCAAAAAAGGATTTTAAAATTGTATTGAAATCCCTAGCAGGAACTTGGCAGCTGGCAGGAGAAACAAAAAATGGCCATTGGTGACAGAGTGACATCACTTCTGGAAAAACCTGGAAGTGACATCACACTTCTCTAGGAATAGTCGAAAACTCTGTGGTAAAAAGTATCTTAAGGTCAGGAGGCTGTCTTTGGGCAAGAAAATATTTGCCTCCCAATGCCTGTGAGAGGAGAATATCATTGTCCAGCATAGGTTGCTAATGATGATTGTTAATGATGTATTGAATAATGATTGTTAATGATGTGTTGAACTGGTTTGAGCTGAGAGGTATAACTGACCACCGGTGGTGTTTTGTTGTTTCATTTGGGCCTGTATTGTAGCAAGTCATCCATTGGTATCATTCTGTCTTTGTCAATCAGATTCCTTACTATGTCCAATGGGTATTATAATTCCAAGAATGTCTGTTGTACATCTAAGAGTAGCAAAACAACTGTGTGTAAAAATAATTTTTGCTTTACCTAAACAAAGATAATTAAACTATTGAAACTATTCGATGAAAATATCATAGACACAATTTATAAATACAAATTCCAAAGCTATTCATATACCAGTAATATCATCATTCAAATTCTCAAATCATCGGGCAAAAAACCCAAACATTCCCACAGTCCATCACAGGCTCAACTCTCTGTTGAAAGTGTGGTGTATTCAATGCAATGAAAACTGAATGTAAACTCACTCATTCAAACACCATACAAAGCTTCGTCCTGGGCAAGGATCCGAATTCCTTAATTCCCATTGATAGCCCAGGAAGAGCTGACCAATCACCTACCATCCAGTTCCCTGAGCGGGAACGTCTGTGATTGGACTTTATCTTGACAATCCTATTGGTGGTAATGTACAGTAGGGCGTGGCTACATTAGCCGGGAGAGTTTAAAAGAAGCACAGCTACAATGCAAAAGCTGTTCTGGTTATTCTGTTTATGGTTGTATTTCACGTTGCTCAATAAAGCTGAATCGTTAGCTGAAATCACTCTCTGACTCTTTATTAAGTAGCCGACTTAACAGAAAGTGCCTGGATGTCTTCAGTTTTCAGAAACAGAAGCCACGCTCCAAGTTGAAACTAGGCAATCGAGCCACTGATATCCAAAGACGGTAGTCCCAATGAAGTCCTCCTGTGGGCATGGTAGCAATGTTGTTCCATGTTTTGCCTGACAAAGCTTTCAAGGAGGAACCCCCTTCTCATAACAGGATATCACTGAAACCAAAACTTAGGCGTATTCTTCCAAAATACCTATTCAAGGCTTTCTTCTGGTTTGTAACTGCTCCTAGCTTGAACCACGCCTATCACACACGTTAAAATGCCTCCATCTAAGAGCAGCAGTCCTCAGACAAAGAAACTTCAAGGGGAAATTATTTGCAAATAAGGTCAGTCATAGACACAATTTTTTCATCCCATGCCATCTGAATCTTCAGGCCTGTTTCTGAGCTGAATAATGAAATATAACTTATGTACGCCCTGGGGATCTTTAAAAGCCAGGATATTGCCATGAAACATAATAGGGAGTTCTGAGCAGAGACAGAGTGCATATTCCTTTTTATGGGGTAACCATAGGCTGCCTTCATTAATCTGGGATTAAAAGACTGCATTCAGGTCAGGGGCTCTGAGGAACAATTTGAATAGCAAAATAGGAGTATTTTGACTCAGTTACATAAAATATATGTAGATACAAGCACAGAAATATGTAAGGGATCCAAAGGCCTTCCCCCTGAGGCGTGTGCCTCGTGATTTCCTGCATTCTTCCAGCACAATGGATCCTGCACAGAAGAAATTATGGGCAGGCTGCTACATTCTCTTCTGTCTCTCCCACTCATGTCATCCTGTTTGTTTTCATTAGAACCTGGCCCGTGAAGTCCGCCGTGTCACGGATTTCCTGGAGATTGACTTGCCTGAGGACACTGTGCAGAAGATCATCCATCACACCTCCTTCCAGGCCATGAAGGACAATCCAATGAGCAATTACAGTAGTTTCCCCGACGCCATCTTTGACAAGAAGATAGGCTCTTTTATGAGGAAAGGTGAGCATTTATTTATTCGGAAAATTTCTACGCAGCCTCTTCTGGGAAAGCTGCCCAAGGTGGCTTACAAATGAATTATGTAAGCTTTCCAAGATCTCAGGAAACATAGTTCCCAGCTGTTGGGATCCTGTTCTCTTCCTGATTTTGAAAACCAGAGAGGGGTTGCTTCTGCAAAACTGTATTGCTTTGGGGTTCTTTAGCACATCCACACAACATCGTTCCCTAATCATCAGCTTTCTATGCTTTGCTGAGATTTCCCCCAAACCTAGTTTGGTACTAGGGTCACCAGTTGCCAGCCTGTGGTGGACAACCTCATGCCCCTGCCTGCCCTCAGGTACTTGAGCGGGGGGAGGAAGCCTGGCGGTGAGGTACTGGATGATGTCACGGATGCAGTGACATCACTTCCAGTCACCATGTCACAACACTCTATTTCCTCAGTATCTGTAGTCTTTACCATAGAACTTGGGGGATTGCTAAACCGCTGCTGATGCAGTGAGATCACTTCCGGGTGATTACCCGGAAGTGATGCCACTGGATCAGTGAAGCTCCCCCTCCCCACAGTCTGTCCCCCAAAATCTCTTGGTGGTTGTCAGCACAGAGCTGGCAATAAATAATAATTACCGCAGTGGGTGTCGTATAGCCGGGAGATCCAAAAATTGGCTGGCAGCCTGAAATTCTAGCTCTTTTTGTGAGGAGCTAGGTTTATTTTTGGGGCTGAGAGAACTGTAACTGGTCCAAGGTCACCCAGCTGTCTTCAAGTGGAGGAGTAGGGAATCTGAACCCAGTTCTTCAGATTAGAGTCTGCTGCTCTTAACCACTACACCATTTTGGAAGGACTGCAGTGAAAGTGTGTTGCTATGCTAACTGGACAGAAAGATGTGCATTTTTGCAGGTCCCTCCTGCATCGGCACCATTTTCCTTGGCTTATTGACTTAGAAAAAAATAAGCACTATGCTGTTGACTGCTGTGTGAATTGTCATAGGGACTTTAATGGAGGACTATGCACATTCCTGTGGCAAAGTTGACCCATGGGTCTCCAGTAAGACCGGACAGCCACCCTGCCTCCATGAAAGGTGAATCCAGAAGGGTAGTAAAAATGTAGTGAAACTGGAACGACCCTGCTAGGATTTTGCAGTTGCCCATAACCCTCTGCTCTTTCCTCATCCTTTCCTGCATTCTCCCCCCTAGGTGAAGTTGGCGACTGGAAGAATTATTTTACAGTGGCTCAAAGGGAGGTGTTTGACGCCGATTACCTGCGCAAGATGGAAGGAACAACCCTGCACTTTCGTGACGTGTTATAGACTGAGAGAATTGTCTTTGCTGGGATTTTTATGTTAAGGGGCAAATGTTTTTCCCCCTCCTTGCATTGCATTTTTGAAATAATAAAAGCTGGTGCTATTAAATGCTGTATGTGCTAAAAATCTTGGGTGTTTTGGAGGAACAATAAATATGGGTTTTGAGGAGAGTAAAAAAAAACCCTGGCAGCTAGGAGACCTGGGTTCTCTGGATAAGGCTGGGGCCCAAGAGGAAGGAGGGCTAGGGGAGTCTAAACGGAACAGGAATGGTAGAAGCCTGTAAAAAACAGGGCTGCTAAGGTCTTTACAGGACTTTGCTCTGGTACTTATATCAGCAGTTAACAGTTAATCCTGCTTATCTCACCTTTCGATTGCTGAAGCTGCTTTTTAAGGCACAAGAGCAGACTGGGCTCCCCCCCCCCTGCGAATAGCATTATGGAAAATGCAGAAGAAAGTGAAAAAATGTTTTGAGAAATTGCAGGTCCAGCCTAGGAACTGTTGCATCTCAGTGTGATGAGCAAACTGACAGCAGGCTCCTCCCCTCTGAACTGGAAGCCAGAGCTGGACTGTCCTCCTTGGCTTCACACCTCAAGCCAGGTCTGGCCCCCCTCTATCCAGAAGCCTCATAGGCGTGTGGTCCAGCCTGTGAGGGACCAAGAGCACCTCCTGAGCCATTTCTGCCTCTCCACTCCCGTTCTACACCCCCAAGGCTGGAGCTTCCCAACACCTGAGGGTCAGCTGGCTGTCAAAGAGCCTGCTGTCAGGGGCCTGCCTCTTAAAGGGCCAGCTGCCATTGAGCAGCTGGCTGGTATGCAACTCTCTATAATGGTGCAGTAGTCATCCCACTGAGCCTGATGGATGCTAGGCTTGACCCTGTGGGGGGCTAAGAAGGATGGGGGGGCAAGGTGTTGTCTCCACCGCCACCCTCCCCTGACATTGACATACCTGAAGTCCCCTGAGCACAGCCGGATCAAGGCAAACTTAACACTAAATAGTGGTACGCGATATAAGCAAAAAAACCTTTGTGGTGTCCCCCCTTTCCCTCGGTGCCCTAAGCACATGCTTATTCTGCTTAATGGTTAATCCAGGACTGTCCCCGAGTGTGCAGAAAACCCTGCCTTGTCTGCTAGGGGCTCATTTTTGTTGTTTTTGTAATTGGTATAGGCATCAATTTGACTCTTATGGTACAGAAATATTCTGGTGCTGCCTGCAGTCCTGGGGTTGAATGCTGGCTTATCTAGGATCATTCATCTCCTGTTTTTAGTTTGACACAGGAAGATGTATTTTTGCAGTTTAAAACATGTGAAACTCTGGATATCCTCTGTGGCAACGGAGGCCTCCTGGTCTCGGAGTAGAAGCCAAGAGTCTTCGCTTCTCTGGGAGTAATCCCGGAAACATTGCCAAGTTACAAAAATAAGTAGGAGTGTCCAAAAAGAGAACAGTGTCCAATCCAGCTCTGCTTTTGCCTTTCTCATTGCAAAATATGGGTAGGGACAAAAGGAGATCAGGCTATTATCTGTTGCTTAAGTTTACCACATTAAAAAAATCACACTGAAGAGACAGTTGTCTCTCTGCTAACACGGAGACAGAATGATTTGAACTGCACATATCAGGAAAGTGAGAATAACAGCTTTCTTCTTAGAAATGCAATCCAGAAAATACTTCAGAACTAAGGAGTGAGAAGGCTGCTGTTTTCTTTGGGGTAGATCACATAATAGTAATACCCCAGCCTGCAGAGACACCATGGCAAATCACAAGGACAATGGAGAAACCCTGCATGAGCATCAGGAGGTCTACCAGAGGTATCCACTGGTGCCAGTCCACGGAATTCCTCTAATGGAACCCATTGTGCGATCCTGGGCTTGTGTTGAAAACTTTGAAGCACGGCCGGATGACTTACTCATCGCCACCTACCTCAAAGCAGGTGAGACACCAGCAGAAGTTGCTTTAGGAAACGAAGACTGTAAGGTTGTCCACCTATCTGTAATACTTCTGAACATTTTTAATCAGTAGAATGCTTACTAGAGAGGGAGTGGAAGTGTCTGTATCTTTTGTGAAGTCC